TCCCTTGAAGGTTCGAGTTATCGAGAGTCGACTGTATTCTCAGTCATCTTTTGTCATGCTCGGAACTCTAAAAAAAAACGCTATCGTATGTTTCTATCAAAAGGGAGAACAAAGTTTAAATCTGTTTCCATCCCGACCACAGACATACGCTTACAGTTAAGGTGAAGTTTTAGAGTAATTTTGAATAAAACTGAACCGGCCATATGTTCAGGGTTTTTATTTTATTCCAATGTGTCTCTTGGGTTTGCAAGTAATATCTGTATAGAGTGTCGGAAGCAGTTTCTTAGACAATTTAACTCTTTGTAATGAAAAGAATTATTAGCTGAATAAAACCTAAGTCACGCTTTCAGAGATTTTCGTCCCCACAGCCCCTCAGCTTTTTTAACGAGCGAGAAATTAACCTTTTCTTTTCCAACCACGCAGCCAAAAACAAACGATTGTGCTGCATGGGAAAGAGTGCGGTTTAAAAAGAGAAATCAGCCATTGCGGCCCAATATTTTGAGTCGCCCAATCATTTCAGTAGTAGTTTTACGCCACACCTTGCATCATTCTATCTTTTGGTTGTACAAGTTGCTGCTTTCAAATCGGTCGCAGAGACAGGTCAGGAAAACCCCACAGCAAATTCATCGGAGAAGATAAAAAATGCATCTTAAAAGTCTTCTTTTCGTGCTTGGTAAGTCAAATTGTATTTACCACTCGCGTGTTTTGCTATGGGCGCCCGGCTTGAGTGCGAGCTTCATGCGCAAACACGCTGAAATGAAGGTGTGAATGATAGTAGTAAGCCGTGCGCATTGCATTCACTTATGAAGTATGAAACCTTTCACTTTCCCTGACTATTCGAGCTATTTCATTACAGATTGCCTGTTTATAGCACACTGTGTACAGTAGCTCATTGCTCGCTTGTGAGCATTGCGTGGCCCAATATTCCAACAGTCATGCTTGCAAGCGTGCAAGTGTAGAGTATTCTTTACGCATTGCACGACATGGCCGAAAATCGTTTTAAATTAATGCATGATCAAACATATTTTTAAAAGGAGTTATTTCTTTGTTATATAGTACTGATAATATTTCAATAAAATACGGTTACAGACCAGTTGCATATTGAATATTCAGTGGATTCAACTGATTCAACTGAGCAGGGTGCTTCGATTTTACGAGGTATTGGCAGCATGTAACGGGTATCTTTGCACATCTTTGCACAGCCGTGGACAACGCCATCTGTATAGAGTATTGGAAGCCGTCTCTTAGACAATTTGTAATAAAAAGAATTATTAGCTGAATAGAACCTCGACGGTCACGCCTTGAGAAATTCTCGTCCCCAGAGCCCCTATAACGATCGAGCGCGCGATGAAAACTTCTTGTTTTCCATAACCACGCTGCCAAATGAAACGAAAAGTTCGGGGGAAGAGCGTGATAGAAATCGGCCGAATATTGTAATTCGCCCAATCAAATTTCAAACTGGATTGTTCCGCATGCCAAATTCAGAGGACAGATATAACAGTAGTTTTACGCCACATCTTGCATATTTTATCTTGACTGGTTGCACAAGTTGCTCTCAAACCCGGGAGGGGGGTACTCTCTTATATAAGCCATATAGGTATGTGCCGCCCCATCGGGTAGGATGTTTGCGCCGTTTTGGTCTGAAAACAGGTATACGCTTTGCCCATTTTGGTTTGGAATCGGGTATGGTTTTCGAGGGAACTACGGAGTGTATGAACGTTTTTATAGTTTAAAGTCCAAATGAGTAAGAAAGAAAGAGACATATGCGAATTCGAAATGGATTTGAATAATTTCTTTGTTTGCGCTATAATCTATGTACAATCGACTCCCGATAACTGGAACCTTCGAGGGAAATCGAAAAAAGTTCGAGTTATCGGTACCCTGGCTCCAGAGGTCCGCTCTCAAAATACCTTATATGAAATAAGCCGTGCTTACGGTTTGATAAGGCTCCCGAGACATGGTGAGAAAACGGGTTAGTTTTCAAGATCGCATGAACGAAAATACACCAAAATTTCCTAGCACCAAAATATGATATTAAGCAGCATTCTGACGCTACTTAAGAATAATTTGAGTCATTTATAACGTTTTTATTGAATATTCTATTGAAAATTTAAGGTTTGAAATATATTTTCGTTTAAGTCGAATTCCAACATACAGACTTTTTGACTTTTTTAGCGGCACGCGAACTTTAGTAATGGTGACGGAACACGAAGGTCTTCAGCTTTGGTTATATTTTTGGGGATTTTCTCTGGAATGGGCGTTTTTTTCAATGAGTTCTGTAACGAACTACTAGGCTGAATGTTCAAACACTTGAACTTTCAAGTGTGTGGTGCTGTTGAGGAACGGTGCTGGATTTACAAGCTTGAAAGGTAACTCGAAGCAAAGCTGTCATTTTACAAAGAAGCATATGGAGATAGTGCCATTTTGTATCGAACGGTCAATGAAGACCGTTAATGGTTTTAGCCTTTTTCTTCATAGTTCTTACGCTGTTTATTCTGCTTTCTTGGTCTCAAAACAAAGCTTGTGTGACATTGGATCGATATTTTATACTGGCTTTGAATAATGTTGCTGTTTGGAGTAGTCATGCGGTGATTAACTTTATAGGAAACCATTTTGAAACACATCATGTTTTGTCAAGTTTTTATGTTTTAAAAAATCCTCAAAAACAGGAATATGGGTCGGTTTTTTGGAACCGAATGCGTGGTACCTTCAAGGAAAATATATCCACAAACAGTTTGGGTCAATTTTGACTTCATACCATCAAGATCGATGCCAAGAAATAAAATTTTTTGCTGGTAGTACTTTTAGCGGCTTCCACCTTCCCAAACAATTTACCAGTTAAAGAGTTAGTGATACATGCTTTATATTTACCAAGTTAAGTAATGATCCGGATAAGGTGGATAGCAATTTCTGTTGTTATGCGGCAACGGTGCTTTCCCCACATAGGAAATTTTGTCATTTTTACACAGAGAATGCATAAACCTACATGAAGGCCGTTTACGCAATAAAATGCATTTTCACTCCACTTTGAATGGGTGTTTTTTGTGTTAAAGGATTTTGACCAATCACAAGAGTTGAAAACAATAGCCAAGAAAAGTTTATAATTTTACATGTTCCCCACATAGGATTTCTTTGTTATTCAAACTGACACCAGATTTTGTTATATGGAAGATGGTTGGAAAGTAAGGATGAATATATGTACTGCTTTATGAAGTTTTGTTAACTTTTGCTGTTTAAGCCAATCAGAAGTAAGTACAGACAATAAAAAAGTTAGCACCTTTTTTTGTATTCTAACATGTTTGTTGCCGTTGTTGCTATCTTTCTTATCTGGACCGTTTCTTAATACTTTATGGTGTTTATCACCTAACAACCAACATCCCCAGGGGAGTACTCCTTTACATTTGCCCTATAGATATCGGTATTGATAATAATTTTAACAATTGATAGCCATCATTTTGTGAACCAAAAATCCCGGTGGGTACTTTTGCCTTAGGTATTGGTCATTTCAGACCCTAGAGGGGAAACTCAGATGGCACATCCCCACCACGAAGTGCTAAGAATACCCCCCCCCCCCCCCACCCCACCCCCGGAAAAAAAATCAAAGGGATTTTTATGACTGCGGGGGGGGTGAAAACCCATAACAAAGGTCAAACAAAGGTCCGAGTTAAACGCCAAACCCAATGCA